CACCATGCCGCCAAGAGGAGGTACGTGTGCGAGGGCATCGGCCACCCCTCCGCAGAGGGCCTCGCTCGGTCTTACAGGGAGGGCGACGGGGCGAGCGTCGCAGCACCTCACCTGGCCGCCAGGGGCAAGTCCATGTGCGAGGGCATCGGCCACCCCACCGCGGTGTGCCTCGCTCGGGCTTACAGGGAGGGCGACGGGGCGAGCGTCGCATCGCCTCACCAGGCCGCCTTCAGCTCATTCATGTGTGAGGGCATCGGCCACCCCACCGCGGTGGGCCTCACAGGCAGCTGGCTGCGCGGTCAGGGCCGACCTGGCCTCGGGCAGCGCTTCCACTCCTGGGCGCACCGCGCACCCACGCCCTGGTGCAGGGCCCACCTGGCCCAAACCCGTGTCGGAGCCGTCCTGGTGCAGGGTGAGCTTCGCAACCGTCTTCGTCACGTAATCGTGCACACCGAGGATGTGCTGGGCCCACCTGGCCGCAACATTCCACGCGCTCACGTCTGGCCCATGTCGTGCTCGTCTCCGAGGAGGTCGCCACTCCAGCTGACGGGTGCGCTGCTGCACGGGGCCTTCGCGCCCCACATAGCATTGCTTGCGCATGCCGACGATGTCGCGTCTGCCAGCCAGCTCTTCCTCCACGCCTCGGAGGACCAGGTCCCATGCCACTGCCAGCTGAGGAAGAGACTGCGCTTTATCAATGGAGAGATACACTTCTTCCCAGCCGTGCCAGGGATACCGCGCGCATCCCACGGGCAGCTGCCGAGGGAACGGCCGCGGCTCATCTAGCTCGCGCGCCATCGGCGCCTCGGTGCGCTTGGCCAGCGTGAGGTGCACAGGCCTATGTGGCCATGTTATGTCGGTGACCGAAACGTCGACGGTGTACTTAGCCCCCTGGAGCATCGGGCGGTGGGCGAGGAAGTAGTCCAGGGTGGTAGCTGGCACGGCTTGCAGGCAGGTGGGCTCTCGCGGGGCCACGCACATGGCATCGGCGAGGTGGAGCCAGTCATGCTCTAGCAACTCCTGCGGGGCCATGTTGAAGTCGCCGCCTACGATCCATGCCAGGCCAGGCCCTGTGACGACACGCTTCACGTACTGCGCGACCTGCCAGACAACGGCCAAGTTGCGAGGCGACCTGCCCTCGCCTGTGTGTAGATACAGCGCCACGGCGACGAAGCCGCCAGGAAGCGCAGCATGCACGTGGGCTGCCACGGCCCTGCCAGGCACTATGACGCCGCCGCAGTGGCGCCTTGGTGACGACGATGTCCGTCTTGGCCAAGACAGCGACGCCTCCCTCCGTGCCGCCAGCCGCTGTGGCCAGCGCGGGGCACCACGCTCCTTTCCAGCCCGAGTCCTGGGCGTCTCCTTGTACCTCAGGGAGCTTCTCGGCACCTGCATGGTGCTCCTGCGCTAAGACCACGTCGCTGCTGCATTCGGCGAGGTACTTGGACAGGGTGCCAACCGAGTTGGCGTTGACAGTAGTAACCTGTAGCTTGCTGCGCATCATGACTGGCAACAATGAGTTCTCAGGCTGTGCGTGGCTTCTTGACCACCTTCCACTTGGCTGCGGCCATGCGGATTCTCTTGACAGCAGCACGAAGTTCCTCCTCTGAAGCACCGGCAACGTTAGGGATGTCAGCACCAGACTCGCGCAAGAAGTCGCGAAGCTCCTCGGCAGTGGCCTGGTTGACGGACTCCTCATCCTGGGCCTCTCCTTCGTCTGCCTCCATGGCGGCGTCGGCTCTGTCAGCCGCCTCCTCGGCTTGCTCTTGCTGAGCCTGGGCGGCCTCACGCTCGGCTTGAGCTGTTCGCTCCTGCTCCTGAGCGTGCCGATGCTGGCGCATCCTGTCCACCAGATTGGCCACGTCCTGCTGCAGATCAGGAGGAGCGCCAGCAGCAAGCAGGACTTGTTCCAGCTTGGGCAGCGTCCAGCTGCTCTCATCGTCGCCAGCACCCGTGCCAGGAGCCGCTGCGGGAGGCTGCGGCAGCGCACCAACCAGTTGTGCCCGCTGGCCCTCAAGCTCCAGCAGCTGCTTGCGGGATACTGCCAACGCGGCGTCCTGCGTGGCGATCTCCGCCTGCAAAGCCGCCAGCTGCGCCTGCTTGAGCTCGCGGGCCGCCTGCTGCTTGGCGATATGCTGCTCGACCTTGGTGATCTTGAAACCGAGAGACTTGAGCCGCTGTGAAGGCGGCTTCTCCTGGAACAGCTGCGTGCGCAGCTTGACTTGCTCTGACTTGTACTGCTCCACCAGCTTCGCAACCTCTGGCGTGTCAACTCCAACCAGCTGCTTAATGAAGCCGCCCAACTCGTCCAACCTTTTCTTGACTGTCGACTCGGCCCCAGCATCGCCTTCCCTTTGCTCAGCGCTCGCCGTGGGCGCCGCCGACTCGGGTGGCTTGGCCTTCGCCTGCTTGAGCTGCGACGTGAGCGATTGGACTTGCTTCTGCATCTCAAGCAGCTGTGCCGAGAGCGAACCTGCTGCTTTGCCTCCTGCGGCCCACGGCGCTGGCCGAGAGGGCGCACTGGGCTTGACGGGGCCCCCGTACACAACGCCTTTGGCCAGGCCGCAACTGTTGCAGCACAGCTTGTCAAGGAAGTTGACGTAGGGCTTGTGATCACGTCCGAGGCAGGACTTGCAGAGCCATTTGTCACGACGGGCTGCACGACTGCCTCCTCCCTTTGCACCAGCGGCGGGCGGCGCCATTGCTCCTCAACCACAGACTCGGAAGCTGTGCCCGCGAGCAGCAAAATGACGGCCAGGCTGGCCACTGGAGGGAGAATCTTGCACAAAGGAACTGGCCTCAAAGCGCGAACCCCCTCGCGCTCAGAGGCGCCCGAGAACGGACTCGCGGTCGTCGGGCGGTTCATAGCCTTGAACCAAAATGGCTACTACGTGTGTGTGTGTATGTGTATGTGTATGTGTATGTGTATGTGTATGTGTGTGTGTGTGTGCGTGTGCGTGTGCGTGTGTGTGTGTGTGTGCGTGTGCGTGTGCGTGTGCGTGTGCGTGTACGTCTGCGTATGTGTGTGTACGTGCGTGCGTGCGTGCGTGCGTGCGTGCGTGCGTGCGTGCGTGCGTGCGTGCGTGTGTACGTGTGTGCGTGTGTGCATGTGTGTGTGTGTGTGCGTGTCTGCGCTTGGGCGTGCGATTGCACATGACAGAGGCGTGTCTGTGCTTGTGCTTGTGCTTGTGCTCATGCTTGGTGAGTGTTTTCTGATTTGGCGCTTCGACATTGGGCGGAAGGGGGGGAGGGGGGGGGGTCTGGCTCCGGACCTCTGGTTAGTGCGACAGTTTGGAACAGTGCGTCCGACAGGGGAGACTCCACCGCACCTGCTCGAAGCAGGCGCCCAAAACAGCCAAGATCTACTCCGGGGGGGGGGGGGGTGCGAGGGCCCGTGCGGATCGGCAAAACAGGTGACAAGAAACCGATCACTTGTGGAACAAGGAACCTGGGAACCTGGGACCAGGAACCCAAGAACCTGGCCGCCTCCCGAAATTCGCGCAGTACATTAGCGTACTCTTTCAATACCCGCTAGGCCGTCAATCCAATCACTGATTGGGGCGCATTCGCTAGTACCCCTTCAGTGAGACGCCGCATGAAGCCTCCGAGGGCTTCCCAAGAGGCCTCCGAGATCACCCCAAGAGAGCCAAAGCGGCCTCCAAGACAGCCCCAAGAAGGCCCAAGAAACCTCCAACATCGTCCTATAGCGCTGTGCGGTCGACACCTTTTACGCCCTATTCATTAGCTTGACTGTGCGCTCCCTCTACTCATCCACACGTGCTCACTCCCTCCCTCTCCCTAACTCTCTCTCTCTCTCTCTTTTTCTCTTTCTCTATCCATCCTTCTCTCTCTCTGTCCCGCCACGCTGTTTACGGTTGCCTCCATATTGTCTGCACACTGCAATGTGTAATAGTTACTCTTTACTCTCCCTGCTCCACTCTGCTCTGCACTCTCAAGTGCTTACTCTTGACTCTCAAGGTCTCGATCGACTCTCTCATTGTGACCGCGGTTGCAGCAAAAACTCGGGATCCATGTACTCTCCACTACCTATGGTCAACCCTGCTCGAAACTCTCTGACCCCCCAAATCCTTTACTATCAAAACTCTGAGGCACTTGGCCTCGACCAAGACCTCCGAAACCCCTGACGCTGACTCCATAGGAACCGCCTGGGAACCTGACACTGCCAAGAACCTCGGGAGCGGCCAAGAGGGGGGTGTCCAAGAGGGGGGGGTGCAAATCATGACTGGCGGCATGTGCGCGGCCCAGCGGGGGGGCTGGGGACGTAATGAAATAAGAAGAGGCGCCATGAAATCTGGGGAAATATCGTAGCCCACGCCATGATATCCACACCCCCCTAGTCATCCCCCCCCTCTTTTCCGCCCCCGAGAACCCTGGAACCAGGAACCCTGCAACCCCCCGGAGCCCGGCCGCCGGCCGAATTCGGCGACGCACATTCGCCTACTCTCGCAAGATCCGCTAAGACCCCTTCAGCGCAAGCACTGGGGACAAAGAGCGTGTGCGTGTGCGGGGGTGGTCTGTGTGTCTCTGCGTTTCGCTCCCAGCCCTCCTGCGGCTGGTCCTGGATAGAGAGCTGCCGCTCCTGACTTCTCATCTCTCGCCTCCCCCCTCCTCTCTCCTTCCCTGCTCTCTCTCTCTCTCTCTCTTTCAAACTCTTCTCTCTCTATATATGTATATATACATATGTGTATGTCTCTGTGTGTTCTCGCTCTCTCTCTCTCTCTCTCGCTTTCTCTCTTTTTTACACTCTCTCTCTCTCGTTGTTCGCTGTCTCTCTCTCTCTCTCTCTGCTCGCTTCCTCCTCGCTGATTCTTCGCTTGTTACCCTGCCTGGGCATCACTCCCCTCACTGGGCGGTGCCAACTGCGCCACAGTTGGCATCTTGGGGAACTCCTGGGAGGTCCAACGGAACGCGGTGCTACGCACACTCAAACTGTCACTCCCACCCCTGGGCGCTGCGAACTCCTCCTCTCCCTCCTTCCCGTTGAAATTGCTTCACGTGGGTCCAATGGGGTGTGCACCGCTACGGTTTCCCACACAACTTCCACAGGGAACCGATGCCACCTTCTGATGCACAACTCGATCTGGCCTGCCCCGTTGGTGTCGCCGCTTCTTGCAGATGGCTTGGGCACGCCCTTGGATAGTTGTTTGGTCTGCCTCTTGCGTACACCCCCATGGCGCGCCCTTGTTGCTCCTCACCTTGGGCAACGCGCCGGGGCTCGCCTTCTCGCCGCTACGCTCCTGACGTCCCGACCATTCAGCGTCAGCCCGTCGATATTAATCAACCACCTGGGCGTGCCCCGTCGTATCGCTCGGCGTGCGTGGGTGCGTGGGTGTGTGTGTGCGTGTGTGTGCGTGCGCGTGTGTGCGCGTGCGTGTGCGTGTGCGTGTGCGTGTACGTGTGTGCGTGTGCGCGCGTGTGTGTGTGTGCGTGGATATGTGTGTGCGTGTGTGTAAGGAGTGTGTGTGTGTGCGTGTGTGTATGCGTGTGTGCGTGTGTGTGCGTTTGTGTAAGGTGTGTATGCGTGTGTGTTCGTGTGCGTGTGCGTGTGCGTGCGTGAGTATGTGTATGTGTGTGTGTGTTTGTGTGTATGTGTGTGTGTGTGGGGGGGGGGGATGGGATGTCCCGTCGACGCCCGGCGCAGGAGTTCGAAGAGTGCTCTCGCTCTTGCTCCCCCCCCCTTTGCCACCCGCCGAGGGCCAGCCCGACGGACCAGGGGGCCGAGGAGGCTTCGACAGCCGAGGCTTCAGCGTCGCCGAAAAAACGTGCCTCCCCCTCCGCGGGAGTCTGACGGGACTTTCGGCAGCCGCACGGCCTTCTCGCCGAGCTGCGTGTCGATCTCGGCGATCTCCGACTGCAGACGCGTGAGCGCGTCCGACGAGTCGTCGACCTCGCGCGCCTTCAGGACTGCGTTCCTGGTACTCTCCGCGCGGCTCGTCTCGCAGGCCTCCTTCGTGCGCAGGTCCGACGCCTCCTCTTCCTCTTGGCCGGGGGGGGGAGGAAACCAGAGGGCCTACAGGGCAGTTTTTAGTACATAGGATGTTTTTTGTTTTAATCTAAGTTTTTCGAATACAGGAAGAATTTATGGATGAACTTATGCATGAACTCATCGTTGTTTTCAATACAAATCCCTGCATGTTTAATACATGATCCGCACGCGGAGCATGTATTAAAAACGGCACTGTAGGGATAGGGGCAGGTTCGGGCCCATGAGGGAGGGTAGGATGACCCCCGTGGGCCCAGGGGGGGGGTAGTCTCGGGGCAAGGCTGGAGCCAGGGGCCGCCCCAGAGACGCGGGCGAGGGCCAGAGGAGAGGTATGGTGGACAGAGAGAGTATCCCTGCCCTGTGTTTTCACTGGGGGACACCTCCTCTACCTCCTGCTCCTCCTGCTCCTCCTCCTCCACCTCCCCCTCCTCCTCCTCATCCTGCTCCCCCTCCTCCCCCTCCTCCTCCTCCTCCTCCTCCACCTCCTCCTCCTCCTCCTCCGCCTCCTCCTCCTCCTTCTCAACCTCCCCCTCCTCCTCCACCTCCTCCTCCTCCTCCTCATCCTGCTCCCCCTCCTCTCCCTCCTCCTCCTCCTCCTCCTCCTCCTCTTCCTCCTCCTCCTCCTCCTCCTCCTCCTCCACCTCCTCAACCTGGTCGTCGTCGTCGTCGGCGGCGTCATTGTTGCGCGGCGGAAATATCTAGGGGTGTCGTCTGGAGCACCCTGGGCCCTGGGCGTGAGCCATACATCTCTGCTACCCAGCTGGTCCTCCAGGAGGGTCACGATGCCGTCGATGGCCGCGATCACCTGACATGGATGCTGTCAAAGCCTGCATGGGCATTTCTACAAGCAGGTACCGTTTCCAACGCGCCAGGAAGGGAGAGGAGGGGGGACGACGAGGAAGGAAGGAAGGATGAGGGAGGCCCACGGCGAGCAAGCGGAAAGGGTCGTGCTCGGAACGAACAGGAACCGCGACAACGAACGGACTCTCGTCGGCGCACTGCGGTCACTCTGCCAGGCGACTTGCTCAACGAAAAGCCGCGGCCGTTGGCAGCATGACAGAACGAGCTGGTCAGACCCTCCTGAATCGCATACCAAAAACCTGCGTTCGGCATCGGCTCGGCCACACGGACGGCCCCGCACACCCAAGGGTTAAGTCGGGCCTGTCCCCCTATAGGGGGATTTTCGATGAAAAACCTGACCGGACAAGAACGGGAAGCGTCGCTTTAGTCCACCAAGCATGTGGAAAATGCTCTGTTGTTGTTATGCCGCGCAAGTATGCCGTGGCGCGCGTGTCGGCGTGCGTGCGGGGTGTGTTGTGCTGTGCTCCTGTGTGTTCTGCCGTGCTCCTGTTCTGCCGTGCTTCTGTGTTCTGCCGTGCCTCTGTGTGCTCTGTGTGTTCTGCCGTGTTCCTGTATCTGCCGTGCGGATCGTCGCGGTGATCGTTTGGCAAAGCTTCTGGGCGCACACGGCAGAAAAAGATCAGGAGCACGGCAGAATAGGCCCCAAGAGCGAAGGAGCACGGCAGAGAAAGACAAGGAACACGGCAGAATAGACCCCAAGAGCAGATGAGTACGGCAGAATACACCCCAAAAGCAAAGGAGCACGGCAGAAAATGACCAGGAGCACGGCAGAATAGACCTCAAGAGCTAAGGAGCAGGCAGGAAAAGACCAGGAGCACGGCAGATTAGGCCCCAAGAGCTAAGGAACACGGCAGAAAAAGACCAGGAGCACGGCAGAATAGACCCCAGGAGCTAAGGAGCAGGGCTGAATATGGATCAAGTGCGAAGGAGTACGGCAGAGAAAGACCAGGAGCACGGCAGGATAGACCCCAAAAGCTAAGGAGCACGGCAGAGAATGACCAGGAGCACGGCAGAATAGGCCCCAAGAGCGAATGAGCACGGCAGAAAAAAACAGAAACACGCCAGAGTAGACCCCGAGAGATGAAGGAGTGCGGGAAAATAGACCCCAAGAGCGAAGGAGCAAACCAGAAAAAGACGAGGAGCACAGCAGAATAGAACCCAAGAGACAAGGAGCACGGCAGAATATGCCCTAAGAGCGAAGGAGCACGTCAGAAAAAAGCAGGAGCACGGCAGACAAAGACCAGGAGCACAGCAGAGTAGGCCCCATGAGCGAAGGAGCACGTCGGAAACAAACCAGGAGCATGGCAGACTAGGCTCCAAAAGCTGCCGAGCACGGCAGAAAAAGACCAGGAGCACGGCAGAATAGACCCCAAAAGCTAAGGAGCACGGCATAATATGCCCCAAGAGCGAAAAAGACGCCAGAAAAAGACCAGGAGCACGGCAGAAGATGCCCCATGAGCTAAGGACGACTGCAGAAAATACCGAAACACAGCAGAAAAGGCCCGATGAGCCAAGGAGTACGACAGAAAAGACCAGGAGCACAGCAGAATAGGCCCGAAGAGCGAAGGAGCAAACCAGAAACAGACGAGGAGCACGGCAGAATAGAACCCAAAAGACAAGGAGCACGACAGAAGATGCCCCAAGTGCGAAGAAGCACGGCAGAAAATTACCAGGAGCACGGCAGAATAGACCCCCAGAGCTCAGGGGCACGGCAGAAAGAGACCAGGACCACGGCAGAATAGACCCCAGAGCTAAGGAGCACGGCAGAAAAAGACCAGGAGCACGGCAGAATAGGCCCCATGAGCGAAGGAGAACGGCAGAAACAAAAACAGGAGCACGGCATAATAGACCCCAAGAGCTGAGGAGCACGGCAGAAGAGGCCCCAAGAGCGAAGGAACTCGGCAGAAAAAAACAGGAGCACGGCAGACTAGACCCCAAGAGCTAAGGAGCACGGCAGAAGAGGCCCGAAGAGCGAAGGAGAACGGCCAAAAAAAGGCCAGGAGCACGGCAGAGTAGACCCCAAGGGCTAAGGAGGACGGCAGAAAAACACCAGGAGCACGGCAGAGCAGGCCCGAAGAGCGAAGGAGTACGGCGGAAGAAGACCAGACGGCAGAGTATACCCCAAGCGCTAAAGAGAACGGCAGATAGACCCCAAAAAGGAAGGAGCACGGCAGAAATGCGAGACGCTTGCGGCAGAGGAGCGCAGAAGCATGACAGGAAGAAGGTCCTCTCGTTCGGCTTTGGATAGACCCCAAGAGCGAAGGAGCACGGCAAATTAGGCTCCAGGAGCGAAGGCGCATGACAGAAAAAAAGGAGCACGGCAGAATAGATCCCAAGAGCTGAGGAGCAGGCAGAATAGGCGCCAGGAAAGAAGGAGCATTGCAAAACACGACCAGTGACCAGGAGCACAGCAGAATAGACCGCGAGAGCTAAGGAGCACGGCAAGATAGATGCAATAATACAACATAATACGCCCCAAGGAAGAAGGAGTATGCAAGACAAACACAAGGAGCACGGCAGAATAAACCCCGAAAGCGAAGGAGCACGGCAGAATATGGCCCAAGAGCTAAGGAGCACGGCAGAAAACAACCAGGAGCACGGCATCATAAGCTCCAAGAACAAAGGATTGTGACAGAAACTGGCCAGGAGCATGGCAGAATAGGCTAGAAGAGCGAAGGAGCACGGCACAAAAAAACAAGGAGCATTTCAGAATAGACCCCAAGAACGAAACAAGGAGCATTTCAGAATAGACCCCGTGAGCGAAGGAGCACGGCAGAACTGCTCATTCTCTGCCTTGCTCTTTTTTCGCCGGCCATGCTCCGCCCGATTTGTTTGAGAATGTATGCAGCGAGAGCGCGATTTTTAACACGAGAGGTAGTAAAAACGCCACTCCAAGATATAATTGTTGTTAGGATGTCTCAGGCGAGACGCTAGTTTTTGAACATCTGTCGAATACGCGGCTTCCCATGTTTAAGGGATGTCTCAAGCGAAACGCTCATTTTTGATGAAATCGATGTTGAGAACTTTTCATTGTTGTAAGGATGTCTCAGACGAAATCGCCATTTTGGATCGTCTCGAGGGCGCTCCTGGGGGTCAAATTTGGGCTTGTTTGGGGCCTTTGGGGGCTTTCCTGATGCCTTCCAAAACCGGTACAGTGCGATGTTGCACACATTCATGTTTTCCCTAGCGAAATCGTAATTTTTAGATGGCTGGCTTAAACCATCTAGAAGCCTTTTCAGGAGCGATCCGACGATGTTAAAACAGCAGTTGTCAAAACGATGTTGTTCGATTTGTTCCCAACCATCCTGTAGTGTTGGGTCCTCGTTTTGAAGAGACGGTGCCCCGCGTTCCTCTCCTTCCTCTCCTCCTCCCTCCTCCCCCTCCTTGCCTCTGCTCTCGGCACACCTCTCACGCGTTTCGTAGCCCCACAGGGAGCTCCACCGAAGGCCCCAGTGGGGGTGTTCGCATGCGGTTCCCCCACCCAGGGCAGCGTTTCGTGGCCCCATAGGGAGCTCCACCGAAGGCCCCAGTGGGGGTGTTCGCATGCGGTTCCCCCACCCAGGGCAGCGTTTCGTAGCCCCATAGGGAGCTCCACCGAAGGCCCCAGTGGGGGTGTTCGCATGCGGTTCCCCCACCCAGGGCAGCGTTTCGTGGCCCCATAGGGAGCTCCACCGAAGGCCCCAGTGGGGGTGTTCGCATGCGGTTCCCCCACCCAGGGCAGCGTTTCGTGGCCCCATAGGGAGCTCCACCGAAGGCCCCAGTGGGGGTGTTCGCATGCGGTTCCCCCACCCAGGGCAGCGTTTCGTAGCCCCATAGGGAGCTCCACCGAAGGCCCCAGTGGGGGTGTTCGCATGCGGTTCCCCCACCCAGGGCAGCGTTTCGTGGCCCCATAGGGAGCTCCACCGAAGGCCCCAGTGGGGGTGTTCGCATGCAGTTCCCCCACCCAGGGCAGCGTTTCGTGGCCCCATAGGGAGCTCCACCGAAGGCCCCAGTGGGGGTGTTCGCATGCGGTTCCCCCACCCAGGGCAGCGTTTCGTGGCCCCATAGGGAGCTCCACCGAAGGCCCCAGTGGGGGTGTTCGCATGCGGTTCCCCCACCCAGGGCAGCGTTTCGTAGCCCCATAGGGAGCTCCACCGAAGGCCCCAGTGGGGGTGTTCGCATGCGGTTCCCCCACCCAGGGCAGCGTTTCGTGGCCCCATAGGGAGCTCCACCGAAGGCCCCAGTGGGGGTGTTCGCATGCGGTTCCCCCACCCAGGGCAGCGTTTCGTGGCCCCATAGGGAGCTCCACCGAAGGCCCCAGTGGGGGTGTTCGCATGCGGTTCCCCCACCCAGGGCAGCGTTTCGTGGCCCCATAGGGAGCTCCACCGAAGGCCCCAGTGGGGGTGTTCGCATGCGGTTCCCCCACCCAGGGCAGCGTTTCGTGGCCCCATAGGGAGCTCCACCGAAGGCCCCAGTGGGGGTGTTCGCATGCGGTTCCCCCACCCAGGGCAGCGTTTCGTGGCCCCATAGGGAGCTCCACCGAAGGCCCCAGTGGGGGTGTTTGCGGTTCCCCCACCCAGGGCAGCGTTTCGTGGCCCCATAGGGAGCTCCACCGAAGGCCCCAGTGGGGGTGTTCGCATGCGGTTCCCCCACCCAGGGCAGCGTTTCGTGGCCCCATAGGGAGCTCCACCGAAGGCCCCAGTGGGGGTGTTCGCATGCGGTTCCCCCACCCAGGGCAGCGTTTCGTAGCCCCATAGGGAGCTCCACCGAAGGCCCAGTGGGGGTGTTCGCATGCGGTTCCCCCACCCAGGGCAGCGTTTCGTGGCCCCATAGGGAGCTCCACCGAAGGCCCCAGTGGGTGTGTTCGCATGCGGTTCCCCCACCCAGGGCAGCGTTTCGTAGCCCCATAGGGAGCTCCACCGAAGGCCCCAGTGGGGGTGTTCGCCTGCGGTTCCCCCACCCAGG